GACAATGTCTTGGGTAAAGAAACACCTATTAAGTGAACATTAAATATCATATCGAAATCATCCCTAATCAAGGTCATTGAAAGTTGATTTAATGGTAAAAATCAAACTAGCATGTTGATATTTAATGAAAGTCAAAAATAAATTGAATTATTTTAACATTAAAGAGTGGGAATTATTTTGGTTGATTCAATTTTAATTTTGTACACTATTCAAAAAGCAATCAAATGTTCGAATGTGGTTCTAGCAAACAATTAAAAGTTGAGGTTTTTAGCTTCACTTTATCAAATAAAAGTCGAACAAAGCAATATCAAGACGGATTGCTTGATATTGTCCGTGTAACACCTCAACCATGAGTATTGTAAAGAAGTACTATTTGATTCAATTATATTTTTATTTGCTCACTCCAACATATGTAGTGTCCTTGCTCAGAAATAAAATTGTCCGTATTCATATAATCATGTTCCTCTTCTCGTTCAAAGATTAGAAGAATGATAGCCTTTGTATTGAGAATGAAAGAGAATATATAATTACAAATTAATGGCTATTATGTTTGTGATATTCTAAGCTAAGAAAAAAGAATTTTATATCCTTTGTAAAGGATACTTTACAATAATGCATATATAGATAGCTAATTTATATCAAACTAGGATTATATTCAAGGATATAAATGACCAAAATATAATGTATACTCTCTCTCTCTCTCTCTCTCTCTCTCTCTCTCTCTCTCTCTCTCTCTCTCTCTCTTCCTTCTTCTACTTTTCACTTTAATATGTTCTTTTCACGATTCAAATTGTTAAGATGAAAAAGATCGGATGATGTACAATTAAAAGAATCAAATAAATATAAAGTCACACTTGAATCAAATGAAAGTTTGCAATTGATATGGAGAGTCGAACCTTTAGCATAACCGAGCCTCATCCTAAGGTAAAGACAGTAAAAGTTGATCTAGATATAGGTGAACTATCAATGGAATTCCCTGAGATAATTGGAAACCTAGGTTTTCTTATTTGCATTATAATTTTATGAAAGTCAAACACATTCAAACAAAACTTTTTAAATCAAATGAAAGTCAAAAGCATTCAATTAGCTTTGTTAACTGTTTAAAGATATATGGCTGGTATTTCGTCTTCTCTTAAAATAAGTGTAGTTTAGGGTGTTGAAGCCAATTGTGATAATTAAAGATGTGAAGTTAATTAAATGCCAACACCTCATTTGTCTTGTTTGAGGCCTTTAATTAGCTTGACATAAAAAGTATAGATTTTATGATGACTGGGATAACCACAATTCACAAGGGACTTCAGACAATTGAATCACCCTTTCATCAAAGGTAGGTTGTGCAAATGGAGTACACATCTATCACAATACGAACTGACATATGTAGCTCAAAAGGCTGTTAAAGGACATGAACTGGTGGATTTCTTGGCTGACTATCCATCTATGGAAAACGTAATGATCCAAGAAGAAAAACCATGGACTATGTTCTTTGACGGATCTAGTGGGAGAGAGTCAGCTGGGGCTAGAATTGTGATTTGTTCACCTTCTGGTGTAGTAACTAAGATGGCGATCACTTTCTCAACTCAATGCACAAATAATAGAGCTTTTGGTTTAAAACATTTTAGGTAAGGTTAGGAATATGGTCAAGGTCTAAGGGAATTTCGCGAGACTTTTCAACTATTTACCGAACTCAGGTACTCATCACTGGGTTTGGTTTTTGAGGTGACACGATCAGGTGTCTACAGAAGCCCCAACTTTATATCAAAAGAAAGTGTTAAACATTTTGGCTGAAGTTCATCGTGAAATGTATTCAATTACCCAGTATTTGAGAAAACATTAGATTATTTGGAAGTAATATTTTGTTTTGATTATGCATCGGCGGGAATCAAATGTCAATAATTTTTTAAAGTTATACACTGGCATTCAACGCCGATAATTTTCTATGTGCTTAACATATTTTCTCATTCAATACCTATATATGATGTTGAATATTAATAGGAAAGTTACATAATTTAATGTTGATGGAGACAAGATCATATATGTTTTTGTTGTTTATAACTCATTCTTGCATTCAAAAGAAAATAAAAAATCCATTATTAATGCGAGTACAATTTATTTTTTTATTTTTTATTTTTTTAATTTTGGGAAAATGAGGATATAAATAATTAAATATATGTTGGGACACCATTAAAAAAAATGAAAAGATTATTTTCTAAGGGGAAAAATATCTAGAAAAAGGAATAAAATTCCTAAACTTTGACACCCCACCCCAATATCTAATTACATATCCCATTACAGTACATATTACGTAGCAAAAAAGCAACATTATTACCTAATTTTCCAATAAATATAAGCTTATCAATTAATGACGCCATCCCATTAATCCAAACAATAATAAAAAGTATTTCCTTCCAATTTTGCCGATTCTTTTGCCCTAATATTTTTTTTCCTTTCATTTTCTTCAAGGCTTACGTACAATTATAAGAGCTAAGGATGAATTCTTCAATGAAGTTGGCTAAATTACCCTACTTTACCCATCTTTGAATGAACCCGGAAAGATGATCCGAGCTACAAAATTTGTCAAGTTACCAAGATCTTACTTTACCAAATTTAAAGACATTAATGTTACATCAAAATCCTTGGTTTCTAGCAGGACAAACACCCTCAAAATCACTCATTCCTCAAAAACAAACACATTAGCAACTAGAAAGAATACTACAAAACCTTTTGTTAAGCCAAACACTCTTATAAAACCTATTTCGAACAAACGGAAGGAGCACTACTACTACGCATTTGATTAGAACTTCCGGCACTTCATCGTTATTGCGTAAAGGTGTTGTTGCTATGGCTGCCGGGGATAAAGAAATCGTCACTAAGGCTACCAAGCGCGCTATATGTCCAAGTGACCTTGAGAAGATGAGACACAACCGAGATTATTCTTTCTTATTCGATGCCAATTGAAGGTGAAGATGATCAAGATTCAAGAAGTTATATATGTTGTACTTAGTTTAGTTTGGAGTTTAATGTACGATGATATATCCAAATCTTTATGTTACGCATGCAATAGTTTGGTATAGACATATACTTCAATATATATTATTCCACTGGATTAACTAATTTTTTACTTTAATCTTTAGGTTTTGTTTCATGTAATAATCTTAATGTCTATATATCTATGATGTACTCGATCAAGAATATTGATTTTCTTGAATTATTTCTTCCATTAATAGTATATGTGTATTCTATTTACTTGATGGTATAGGTCCTAAAGGCACGCATGCACTATGCATGGTTGTCCCGAATTCTCGTATTTTAATTTGTTTCATCATTTTGGAATTTTGGTGTTGTTAATTCGATCCGAATTCATCTGATTTTGTCTAATTTGAGATCGAGTCAAGAATATTGGTTAATTTGATCTTGTTCGAAGACTTGGGACATGTGTTTGGAAGTTTTGTAGTATGGCACATTTTTAGCCAATTGAAAATTTTACAGTATACAAATTCCTTTTGCATTATACAAATAAAAATTACCTGGTATAAATTTAATACTATTCATCGATGAAAAGGCCAGGCCTTCAACTCGAGATTCATAGGATATATCATTCTTAAGCATTTTAAATTTACTAGGGCTTTCATTTTAATTTGAGAAATAATATATTTAATTCTATTCTATTCCCAACTTAACTTATTGACCCTAAATTGGACTTATTTACGCAATAGTTGACTTGTAAATCAAAGTTGGCATCTTGTTTCAAAAAATAAATAAATAAATAAAATAAATTGGCATCAAAAGATTAAACGAACAAAATCCTAATAAAAGCCTTATTATCATAAACTTCTGTCACCAATTTTATTATAAGTACACATTACATAAAGCAAAGGGGCTTAATAAGATAGCCCATACATACGTGTTGAAATAAATCCCTTTATTTTTTATAAATAAAATGCATAATGTATTATATTTTATTTCAACGGATTAATTTTGTCTAACAATGTAGTACCTTTTTCTAATAATGTATGGTGGTTTTATTAAAAAAAAATTGATTAACGGTTTTGTAAAAAAAATAGAAAAAAAATTATAAAAAGGAACAAATTGAATGTCTGGAGTAGTGTACAGCCCTACGTATATGAGTGAGGCTAATGGCTAATTTTTTTATTTTTTATTTTTTATTTTATTAGTCTAAATAGTTGTATTAGGATATTGACTAAAATAAATGAATAAAATATTTGGGAAATATGCGGTAAATCTTATTATAGAGAAAATAATGAAGATTTTATTATTTTCCAAATAATTTTTCAAACCTACCTTTTTTAAGATTGTAAATATGCTTCATCATCAAATAATATAGGGATTTTCTTGTCAAAAAATAATAATTATAGGGATTTTGTTATCTAAATGTGTTAGAAAAACCGAAAAAACAAAATCCCAATAAAAGCCTTATTATCATAAACTTCAGTCACCAATTTTATTATAAGTGCACATTACATAAAGCAAAAGGCCTTCATAAGATAGCCCATACATACGTGTAAACATGAACAAAATATGAAAGAAAGAAAACATGGTTCTTCAGAATGAAGCTACTTATTAGAATACATCAACAGTAATAACAATCATCCATTATAAATCTTGGTAGAGCAAGATTTAGAGACATTTGACAGTAATACACAGCGTACTATTTTTTTTCGTCGTCACGAGTTCATATATTCATTGCAGGGATGGCTCTTTCTCCTTTTCGAAGAAAAAAATCACATAATTCCTGTTCTTCTTGCATGGAAGCTTTTAGTATAATTGTCGGCTACAATTGACTTCAATAACACAAAAAGAACTAGACCGTTAATATATTTTTCAATAGATCATAACCATAAATTTTTTAAAATACGAGTAAAATTCAATAATTTTTTTATATCATAAGTGATGATAATATTATTGGACATTTTCAACTGACTATATCGTATGCATAAAGAGTGCAAAGTATTTCCATATACTATTACATTAAAATACGTTTCTTACTCCTTATCAATCACAACCTTGTGCACCACACTCTTCAGTTTGCCATTTCTCATCATCTGCATTCAACACATAAATTTTCTCAATCACTTTCTTATTTCATATTTGGTACCCGTATGTATATATGTGTATGTATAATAATTGAATCTTGTGAACAAGTTCATGGCCTCGTCTTCTCCACACTCTTTCAGAAAGCTGTCTTCATCCAACTCGACTGATTTTGCAATCGCCTTTAAGAGGGATTTTGTTACTCTCCTCACTTCCACGGCGTACTCCTCCAATGTTTCCCTGCAATATGATCATATATACATGTTTATCATCATATAGTTTTGAGGTTTATCATATATTGTATTATATAATATATGATTGTATGAAGAAAATGAATTTGTCACCTGAAATTTAGAATATATTCAGGCCAAAAGTTGAAATTGCGCTGATCAACAGGATTGACTCTGAGATGCAGTCTATCATTCCAGTTGTAATTCTGACCCTCAGAAATTGTAGCACCTCCATAACCTTCAAACCAGTCTAATGTTGTGTTATGCTTCTGTTTTTGCTCTAATGGCAGAGCAAATAATTCCTTCCCATGATTCACAAGCTGAAAAAAATAACATAAACAAAGCCGCGAAATAATTAGTCTAATGATCTATGACAGGAAAAAATGCTATGGTTAAATAAAAGTGTTTAAAACAAGCCTGTAAGCAACCCCATGAATTAAGAACAGAACAAAGTTTTCGCAGTTCTTGTTCGTGTTGGGTTGACGATGCATCTGAAAGCAGGCCAAGATCGATTGATGGACTTTTCATGTATTCGATCTCAGAGTGATTATTATTATCTTCTTATATGTTTGGAAGTTGTTGGATTTTGTAAGTTCCAGGAACCACTTTTTCTGTAGTAGATTTGATCAACTCTTGAATTGGTTTAGATGGTATTGCAAGATTCATAGGAGCAATGGATGATACAGCCATTTTACTTGCTTATTTTTAAGAATAATATACTGAGAAAATACAGAGGACAGAATAGAATAGATTAGGTTTTGATGATACTAAATTGGATATGTTTGTTGTTTATATAGTAGCTTTTACATGTACGTGAATGCATGATACAAAAGACTATTTATCAAGACACAACTAACTAATTAATACTAATTAATGGCCTGTTATTTCTCATTTATTTAGCTGATCAATAATGCATCGAATTTTTATACTAATTTTATTCCATTATTATACTAGTACGTACAACGTTATTGAACCTTGAATTAAAATGTGCAAAAACATGTGGGGCAATTAATTTGAATTTAACTTGTACAAGAAATAATATGTTTACCATTGCTAGTTAACTATTGCTATCAATAGGTTGTCTTAGGGAGTTATTATGACGCGGAAGCAATAGTTTAATATGAGTTTTTTTTTTTTTAAATTTATGGAGTTTTTAGAAATCTTACACTATCTTTTAGTTATTATTAATTATTAGGATTTTGCCTACGAGTTTTTATCTTTCACTTGAAAGGATTTTTTCTATTTTTAGGCTTTAAGAGTTTTAGTTATTACGACATTTATTTGTTTAATTTATTTATGTTATAATAGATTTAATAGTTGGTTACTATATGATTAGTAAATTTATTAGGATTAAGATTCTTAATATTATATCTTATTTTAGGATATGATTATTAGTTTCCTATCTTATCTTTGTACGATGTTTCACCCTATAAATATGGCTGCATATCAGCAGTCATTTTTAATGAATGCTGAGAAATTTGTTTTGGGAATTAACCCTTTGAGTGTTGCTCGTTTGATTGCTAATAAAAAACATCACTTGTTGTGACTCGTGATCATCTTCTAGTTGCGACTATAAAGAGACCCTCTATTCTTGCAAAATTTGAGTACTATCCTATTAATTTTCGTGTAATTTTTTAGTTCTGGCTAAAATTCAAATATCTATTATTATTACAGCTTGCGAGCCTTGTGAGAGTCTTGAGAGATCCACATCATATTACGTCCCTAGCATAAATTTACCATTTAAGTACTTTGGGAACTTCAAATGAAAATAAACTTATATAGCTCAATTGGAGTTTTGGCCAAGCTAAACTTGAATACTCTTTCTTTAGCCTTAGCTTCAAGTAGAATTTGCTCTAATAAGTGAGTTATGGAGTTTGCAACCACTAGCTAGCTATCATTCTAGCTAAATCATGAGTATTTTTTTCTTACTTTTGGCAACAACGAACTTATTCTTTGATCTGTTATGTTATTGAAATTGGCTTATTGAGCGGTATTTATCTTTTTGGTTATATTATACATTGAAACAAGTAACAATTAATAGCTACAGTAATTGTCAAATACTTTTACATAACCACATAGCTAGTACATCAAACAAAAACTAGCACAATCAGCTAGTCAAACCAGTTAATATACAACCAGATATATTAATAAGCTACTACCTTCCAAATAATTACCAAATAGGATCATGTCAGTCAAAGCTTCGCATGGGCTTAGTATAGCATGCATTAATACGAAGTAAGTTCATACATATGTCTAGATCAAAACGACAAAGAATAATGAAATATCAAGCATCAAATCATTTACAATGCGCAAGATGATATGGGTCTAAGTAGTTTCCAAATCGGGTGTGGTAGGTTCTGATCGATCACCTTAACTATCGGATCATATATGTTCGAGTCAAGTTATGTTAGGTCAATTTAGCCTTATAGTCTGGTTCAAATTTAAGCTGGGTTATATTTAGTTAAGGTTATGTCTGGCTGTTCATTTACCCCTTTGAATTCGAGTCAAATTCATATCATATTAAATTTTAGATAATATATACTCTTCTTGAATCCCTGTAACCAAAATTTCGTAGTACTAATAGTCAATTCATCGTAGTTGTAGAGTAGCAGATAGATGGAGAAGACAACAATACAATAGCACATGTTTTAAATTATATGTATGGTTCTAATAAGTTTAAGTATCCTAATTGATAATCATATCAACATAGTTTCTTAATAATGCTTGGGTTATTGGGGACACGTACGTACAAGGTGAGACGTCCGAATGTTATAGGAAATTGAATGGATAGCAATTTGCGCAGTATTTTACAAATGGCCTATTTCTCATTTATTTTCATCCATTTCGAAATAAGTGTCACAAGAAATAATATTTAAATTAGATTAATAATCTATTAATTTATTTTATATATATATTTTTTCATCTAAAGCATTGGATGAAGAGATGGAGGAGAAAGATTTTTGTTGATGTCTACACGAAATAAACACTTTTGGTTCATGTAGTGAACCCTATTTGTGAGATTAAGGCTTTAATTAGTTGATTGAATTAGAAGATGTTTAAGGTGTAAGTTAATTATGTCTTAAAATGTGCACCAACATTGGCAACAATTAATTTGACGTGTAGAGTACATGTATCTATTTTTGTCACTTTGCAAGTAATATGTGATCATTTTTTTATTTTTTTGTTTTTTTGTTGAAAGAATGAATTGAATCGTATTTAGTATAAATAGAATGTAGTTAGGGAGTTTGGTCCCTAAGTGTTGGGCATAACGATATTTTACTACTCCGTATGATCACTAGTAGGATTATTGTACTGATGATTTATCTATATATTTATTTCTAACCATTCTCATTTAAAGCTTTCATTGGTGTTTTTACCGGTGGTAAGCCGTAAAAAAATTTTAATTGCTTTCATTAAATGGATCTCATCTTTGAGATGGTGGTTATTCTATTAGGGTTAATTTCTTTTTTGGTTTGTCTGCCGAAATTTGAAGATTTTGGGTTTCATAATCTCTAGAAGTATCTAGAAGACTATATGACTATTTTCACTCAAACAATTATTCATCAGTGGATCTCAAACCGAATTAGTGCTAACTTAGAGTTTTATTGCTTTGGATGAAATTTTTTATTAAGGCGATCATTGATCGAATTTGCGATGTATCTAGTTCTTAGGTGATTTGTAGTTGTGTTGGAATTCTAAATCTCCTAGGAATTATTTGTAAGTGTCATTTGGCTATCTTTCATTAATGAAATCCTTTTTCTTCTTGTCAAAAAAAAAAAAAAAAGCTTATAAATACATTATTTCAATTACTAATATTTTTATATCACACAATATATAAAATTTTCAAATTGGATATTATGAAAATATATAGATCCAGATGAATCTAACAAGATTTTAAGTATATGACTATATATTTCATTCCTTAACTTAAATCATCAATGTAGTCAAAAGTAGAGTATATTAGTGCATAAGGCAAAGTGTTTTGATTAAAAAAAAAAAAAAAAAAAAGGGGGGGGGGGCCTGATGGAGTCCTTTGCATTAGCAATGTGGTGGCTAGCTAGAGCACATGATCTAGCAACCGGTGCTAGGAAAAGGGTCTAGTTGATACCTCATGAATGACACGTATCATTTCTTTATGCAAAATAAAATTTATTTATTATCTTTTCCTAAATAATTCTTTTTAGGGTTTTTCGTTGTAAACTAGCTAAGTAAACCTAAATTTTGTGAGAAACTACCTAATAAAAAAAATATTGTAAAAAACTACCTAATAAAAGGTAAAATGGTGTAAGATACTACCTTTGGCCGAATTTCCATCGTTAACCTAATTTTATGGCGTTGATCCACCTCAAAATATCCCTCGAAACCACCACATGGATTAATTTTCAAAGTGGTAATAAGGTTATTTTTGGGGTGGTTAGAGGATAATTCGAGTTGGTGAGGGTAGTTTCGTGATTCAGGATGTTGGATTTTTGGGGTTAGAGGTGGTGGTTTTGGGGTTGAATGGTGGTTTCGGCGTGGTAGAGGCAATTTCAAGTAGGTTGGATTGGTTTTATTGGGGTGAAAGTGGTGATTTTGGGAGTGTTTTGAGGCGGGTCAATGGTGGATTTCCGGCAGAAGTATTTTACAACATTTTACATTTTGTTAGGTAGTTTTTTACAACATTTTACCTTTTATTAGGTAGTTTTTTACAATAATTTTTTTATTAGGTAATTTATCACAAAATCTGGGCTTTATTAGGTAGTTCTTTAAAAAAAATCCTTTTTTTTTAATCCCATTTTGCTAGATAAATTTATTTTCAGATGAAATGGTTTGACTAGGAACTGTTTTTTTTTTTTTTTTTTTTTTTTTTTTTTTTTTTTTTTTTGTGAGGAAGATTTGACTAGGAACTTGTATTAATTATTACTCTACATATAAACTTCGTATGTATTTATTTAAAAGTTAATTTGTTATCTATTCTAATGAATAAAATGACCAATAATAAGGATACATGCATACTTCATTTTTAGCTTAGAGCAGACTAAACTCAGTACTACGTAATAGGGTAGTAATGATCAACTTTAGGGTTCTACGTAATACGTAATAACGTGAAATTGGTTGCTATCTGGTCTTACTCTTCATCTAGGATCTACTTGAAATGTTTTTTTTTATTTTTTTTTATTTTTTTTTTATTTTTTATTTTTTTTTATGACAACAGTGAACTCTTGAAAAGTTGAAAGATGATTGATTGTGTGTTCAATCTACCTATTTCTGCATGAATGGTCAACTAATTAAGGGATTGGATTAAGCTATGAGTAGTGTTTTCTTTGCAAAATATTTTGATAGCTTATTTATTTGTCTAATGAGGCATATTCATTTCCTTTTCTTTTGATTATTATCCCAATTAAACGGTCCCTTATGAGTATAACCGAGCTTAATAAAAGTATAAATTTAACTTATATTGTCTAAACTTATCTTATAGGAAGTGCAATATAATCATATATTATCTGAATTAGGTAAATTAAGTTTTTTTAGAACAACGACGAACACGT